AAATGCAAAGAGAACACAATTCGGGAACGGACAGGGCGGAAGGTACACGCCAAATACCCCGAAGTCCTACAACGAGGACGATGACTACCAGTGGAAGAATGTGTTGTATTCAAACAGAAGCCACTATCATCATCACGAGAAATATCGCAAAGATGGCGGTGGAGAAGTGAACAGGGCGGTAGTGGGCGCAGGATTTGCTGATGCAGACATCCGCGATAAGCTGGGGGCCACGTGGACAGGGCCCGGCCTCCGTTGGCCCTACAGCAACTCAGCCATCATCAATTGCTCGTCTCTGCAGGAAGTGACGGATCTGGAGTTCGTAGCTTCCGGATGGACCAAGGCAGTGTATAAGGGAAGGTAAGGCGGATTAATTTTCTCATCTCCCGCACGCAATCGGTCGGCAAAGTTCAAATTTCTGACGTCAGTGCAACCGATTTTCCTTAATTTTCTCACATTTTAACTTCTCTGGAATCGAGGTGTGATCGCGTCTAAGAATCGATATAGCATCGTTTTTTTTTCTTGAAAGACGTATAAACTTTGTTTATTTAACGACGATGTTACATGAGCGGTAGTTCAGTCTGATTCTTGAAAAATTTAATTTTCATTTCTCAGCCTCACAAGTTTATTGAGAGGATGAGATTCTTGGTTTATTTCACGATGCTTTCTCAGCTGCATGGGTTAGGCTGTATAATGTCGGACAAGAGGCCTATTGCAATTGTTTATGAAGCATGTGGAAGAAAGCTGCTGTGTCTCGTACTTCGATCCGAGAATCCAGATTTTTCATGGACAGACTGAGAAACACCACGGAACACCGATTGTTAATCGGCCTATTTTCGTAATCGGCAACCCGGAATTCGAAGTAAGACTGCTACTTACGAGACAGCGGTTTTTAGGTATGGACTGGACTGGCGGAATTAAACCCAACAGACGTTCAAAATGTCACACCGAACATTTCGACATGTCCACTGGCACAGCAATCCTCAGAGTCGCGTGTTATCGTATTTCAGTTGCTGTCATAACAATGTCGCCTCGCGTATTCGTAACTGCCGTCACTTGAGCTGATATTCAAAACACACGAAGTACCAACAATGACTATTATTCAAATTTTATTATCCCCGTGATTTATGTATGAGTACCTTCGTCTGAGTAATTTACTTAAAATAAGCGTTCTTTAATTTGTACGTATTTACAGAACACGATAAATCCGTTACATGAAGACTGCTGTAGTCTGGTGGAAGTTTACGGACGTTTCAGAGGTCCTTCCTGCCTACAACATCGGAGTAAGCACCTCTTAGACGTCCGTCGATGTTACCGTACTTCGTGACACAACATCGAGGAACACAGCCTTCTGCTTGTGTGTTCCAGGTTCCAGGGCAGAGACGTCGCCATCAAAACTGTGAACCTCAACGGACACGACATCCAAGAGTGTCAGGAGAAGCAGAAAGCTTCTGGCCCAGGGGCGTCACTTCCGGTCTGCTACAGAAGGGCGGCTGCCAAGATCCTCAAGGAGCTAATACTGCTGACGGAACTAGCTCACGACAACATTGTTCAGGTAGGTCCCAGCCATCTTGACATTCTTGCCGAGGGCCGTGCGTGGATTCTCTGGATCGCATTCAGCCCTTCATCTGTCTTCTCCCAAATAGGCTCGCTGTTTGTTTGTTTCGACGAGCGATGACGGACGATTTGGTTCCAAATTAAGGCTTTGACCGGGATGTTCTTTTGTTAAATCTTATGTGGTACCGCCTGATTCGACTTCTAATGGTTAAGTGAAGTGCTTTCTTCGCGGTACGGTCTGGATTCGTAAATATTATGAAGACGAGCTTCGGCTTCAAAGGGTTAACCAGCTGATTTTCGTAGTGGTGAGGTGTAGTGTTTTCTTCGCGGTACGGACTGAATTCATAAATAATATTCAGACGATCTTCGGCTTCAAAGGGTTAATATGAATGCGTTTGTTCTGTCTGCGAACTGAATTTAAACACGGGTTTTCGAGTTTTCCTACGCGTCTGGCTGCGTGGAGCTAAGTCCGTCTTGACGATCTAACGCGCATGTCTGAAACTTACGTGTTATCGTCGTGATTGAACTTTCAGTCTGAACCATAAGAGAATGCACCCGACTCTTGAGAACTTAAGCTGACTTAAAGGCAGTGGGATGGACGTACGAGGGCTTCGTGGCTGCTACCGGGTGGCCACAGACTTTCTTGCCGGCCACGTTGAAGGAGAGCGCGCAGTGGCGGATTATAAATGCATGGGGAATCTCGTCAGACGTTTCTTTTCGGTAGAGCAGTCAGGAATTACGTCGTCGTGTGCCTGTTTGTTCCGGGCCCAGGGGTCTCCAAAAAGCGATAAAACTCTCGTCTCCCTCTTTGTTTTATGTGTTTCAGTTGGCACTGCAGATATTTAATGAAAACGTCCGAGGCGTAACAATAAAAACCCGAAGCCTCACGCCATTACATTCTAGTTGTCT